GATACAATGCAGTTACTAGCTCATAAGGAGGACAGCTTCTTTAATATGCAGGTCCCCCTGTGTTCCCAGGAGGGCCCCAATGACTAGTTCCTCATGTCCTCATTTCTTTTACTACTGACTGCTATCACTAAGAATGATGCCTCAACACCCTCTTCCTTACCTCCCACTCTTATGTCTGAATTCATTCTAAGTCTCTCTCAGCAGTTTTCACTGAGAATTCATTCACTTCTGAGAATGGATTCTGATAGAGAGTTTATCTATCTCTGCCATCATTGTAAATTCTTATGCCAGTTCTGTTGAGTATGTAATTTATTTATAATTGGGATATGGGATTTTCTCTGTCTTAGTTATTCTAAAGATGTTGGTTGTAGTTTTACCTCTCCTTCTTTTGCTGATATGCATGATTTTTTTTTTTGGAGAGGTTTTTGCTATAGGGTGCGTGTGCTTGACAGAAAGATAGAGAGAGACAGAGAGATAGAAAGTGAGAAATCAACCCTGCCCGGGGGGAGGGCCATGCCACAATCCCCTCTCCTCCATTCTCCTCTTCAGATCTTGGGTACCCATGCACGCACACATGCTCAGCGTGAGTTTAAGCCACTGGGTCTGGGACTCAAACTGCAGTTGACTACATGGGAGTCCAGCAACATAGCCATTATGCTAACTGCTGGTCCTGATATGTATGATTTTTAGGAAGAGAAATGGGACCTCTTAGCATTAAAATTTCCCATTTTTTTTTCATTTTCTTTTGTACATTCAATCACATTATTTAGCTTACAAAGTGAATATTCCAACATGTGAACATTTCTCCCTAGTCAGTTGATAAACTATAAAATTATGTTCAACAGGAAATACCACATTTCTTTGTCCCATTAATGCTTTACCTCTCTATTTTTCTTCTAAATGTCCTTCCTCAGACTCTACTCTTTCACACACACTATATATGATATTCACATCCATTTACTGTGTTCTGTATCCTTTAATCAGTTTCTGTCATAGAGTGTGGATTGTAACTTCATTGCAAAAAATAACAACAACAAATTAATAACTATGATGGAAGGATATACAAGTAAAATAGCACTGATAATACACATTAGGTGTTAGGTTTATAAATAAGTTTACTTTTGTTCTTCATGCTCCTCTGTACTTAATGTTGTCTAAATTTAGTAATATAGAAATGTACACATGTTGGAATAATCACTTTGTAAGCTAAATAATGTGATTAAATGTATAAAAGAACAAGAAATTTTAAAATTTGTTTAAAAAATCAGAATAAAGAAATTTAGCAATGGAATAAAAGTCAAACTTAAGCAATTAAGAATAAAGTGATAATTTTTCATAATCACTTTTCTGGTATCTGAATGCTATGTGCTTCTGGGAGATGTAGTGATTGAGAGGCATCTCAGAAGGGCATTTTGCCACCAAGAGAGCAGAGTTTATGTGAACTTGACAATACAAGCAGATTCTGATGACACTAGAAACTGATCTGGGCTGATGGAACCCAGTTCCTCAGCTCCTTATGATAAATGGCTCTCCCTAGTGACAGCTTCTATTTAAGGAAGAAGCTTGACAAAGAGGCCTTTTCCAAATTGAAGTCCAAGGACTTTAGGGAGTACTTCCTCAAAGGTCCTGTTCACACACACACACCTACTATTATCTTCATTTTCTTATTGTCGTATTTGAGGTATTCTGAAAGTTGTCCAGGATGCTCTCACTTTTAACTGTCTCTAACTCTGTAACCTCACACATGGGCATATTAATCATCTCTAGGAGTCACTAACCAACCACAAAGGCAAGTACATGTGTTCCATCTTCTTACATTTTCTATTTATGTCCCTGTTAATAGGATGTTTTGAAATTTTCAATCATTATATTTATATATTCTTAGGAATATTGGATTAGTTCCATTAATTATAGATGCACATGCAGTAAATCATAACCTTGGTTTTCTTCTTTATTTATATTTTACTAGGCATCAGCCTTATGCATTTGGGTTTCATGGGCTTGAGGTGGGTAATTATTTTTCTTTCATATTTGTACTATTTATGTACTAATACTCCACCAGTGGCAACCTCAGTTTGCCACTTCTAGTGTTGCTGAACACAGGACATTAGAGACAGGTAAGACTGCCTTCAGAAATAGGAATGGAAGGCAAAAAATCAAATTTGCAAACATCGGTTTATGATACCACAAAAGTAATATTGAATAATTCAATTATATTCCTACCTTTCATTGATGGAGTTAAATTGAAGGTATATAGTCTGTATTTCTTTAGTGCCTCTTATGGCTATGTTATAGCTTTTCTGTTACTATATAGAAATTATTATATCTGATAAGATTGTGTTTCAAAATTTCTCTTTTCTTTGTAAAATAATTAATTTATAATATATGATTAAAGATGTTGGAGAAAATATCCTTTTTACTGTCTCTCAGATGAAGAAGAGTGTTCTTGAGCCAAACTGTTTAGTTATATCTGTACTTACACTTTCCTCTCAAGAGAAAGGATGACTGTTCTTTTGTTTTTGTTTTTTCTTTTATACATTCGATCATGTTATTATTTGGCTTACAAAATGGATATTTCAACAGGTGAACATTTCTCCCTAGTATACTTGATAAAACTAAAAAATATCTTCAACAGATAATACCACATTTCTTTGTGCCATTAATGCTTTGCCTTCCTATTTTTCTTCTAAATGGTTCTTGTTATGTTGTGATACTCCTGCTTCAGGCTCCCAGGTAAGACCACCACATCCTGTCTTTAGGTTGGACCAGGTATCAAATGTGACCCTAGCCTGTTGAGCAGTGCTGTCTTAGCAGTTTATGCCATTGTAGACATCCACTTTTGAGTCCTGGGTTTCTAGAGAAGACACACTGAGTTCCCCCAGAGTGGTCCCAAGACACCCCTGATCTCAGTGAGTCTGCTGTTCCTTTATCTGCTCTTGCAGTCACAGCTCTGTGTTCCCCTGATTCTATTGTGATGCTTCCTCAGCCTTCCTATACCTCTCTCTGTGAACCCAGGAAAGGCTGTTGTCATCCTTGCCAACTATAAGTGGTGAAAAATGCATTGTGGTATCACTCAAGACTCTACATGTTGTGTGTGTGTGTGCGCACACATGCACGCACGCATGTGTGTATAGGTATGTGGCATTTAATTGAATGCCTGTAGTTTGTTCATGTGACAATGTCACTTGCTCTGGTCATATGACACAAATTTTGACTGACGAAAGGTCTGTAGACATCTTCATGTTTGACCATGCTCACAGTACTTTGTCCACTTGGGTGACTCGATGGCCCTCTCCCTAGATTGCTTCTGGGAATTGTGTTTTTGATTCATTTCTTATACCTCTGTGATGGAGCATCCCAAGCCCCAGTGACTGGGAAAGTGCGTTGGCCATCTCTCCCCAGATGTGGAACACTGTGGGTGGTGCATATTATCTAAATGATACCTTTCCCTCATGTCTTAAATTTTATTTTTCCTATATACAAGGGGACTCCAAAAAAGTCGTGGAGAAAATGGAATTAAAGTATGAATTTATTTTTATTTTGGTTCAAAAAAATTGAATCTGTGCATAGTTTTTTTTTTTCATAATATACACTTCCCATGAACTTTTAAAGAAAGTCTTAAATAAACTTTTCGGAGAAAATATATTTACTTGAGCAGCACTTAGTGAGACATCACTTTACCTTTCCAATCCACTTACCATTTTACACGTGTACATGTCTATTCACGAAGTCTTCTATAAATAGTAGAAAGGGCTGTTTGTTATAAGATAATCCATTGTTATTATTCATTGTGTAGTGATTTCCTTTTAATTTTTTTATGATTAAAAAATAGTGGGAACCAGCAGTTAGCGTAATGGCTATGTTGCTGGATTCCCACGTAGTCGACAGTGGTTCGCATTCTGGACCCGGTGGCTTAGAACTCACGCCAGGTGCATGTGTGTGCGTGCCCGAGATCCCGAGAGGAGAATGGAGGAGAAGGGATTGCGGCGTGACCATCCCCACTGGGGGGGGATTTCTCGCTTTCTGTCTCTATGTCTCTCTCTGTCTGTGTGGCGAGCGCACACGCCCTATAGCGAAAACCTCTCAAAAAAAAAAATAGCAAGCTATCTTATTTTTATTTTTTTAAAATGTTAATAAAGTGGACAATGTAAAGGAAAGGAAAGGAGCTGCTGAGGAAAGACTCAATATATCTCTGTGGTCTGACACTGGAAAAACTGAGACAGAACAGAGGCTAGAGACAGCTGAAACCATCTGCACATTTTTATTTAAAACTAAATGTACTGGGGTCGGCAGGTGGCATGGTGGTTGACTGGACTTCCACATGGCCGACCACAGTTTGAGTCCCAAACCTGGTGGCTTCCTTTTCACTTTCTATTTTTCTCTCTCTTCCTTTCTTTATCTCTTTGTCTCTCTCTGGTGAACACATGTAGCCTATAGCAAATTTTAAAAATACTAACAAATAATATTAAATAAATAATTCTTTAAAACAATATGTATTTTACAGTGAGACAGCTGTTCTTAAGGTCTTAGAATGTGAGAGATTTGGGAAATTGAGCAGCAAGTCCAGAGAGCAAATGCAATTTTTCACATCATTCAAAGTGGCATAAGTTGTATGAGAAATATAAAGTCTATGGTGTATCCATGTACAGAACTGTGTGTTGTGTGATAGAGAGCATCCTTTTTATGCTGTCCTCTGAGGTGACTTCCCCACTGTCTTTGGTCTCTTTCTTCTTTGTGGCCAAAGATGGTGGAAGCTGAGGTTTTGCATACAGTATCAGGGAAAAGCTAAGTGGAGTTGGCTTCAGATTCCACTTTACCCACTAGGAAACGGGAAGTGCCATGCAGTCCAGCTTTCACTAACTATGACAAAAGATTGCTCTGTTTTCCTTTTATTGCCCCTGTGCAGGTTCTATCCCAGAATGGTGGGGACAGAAGACCTAGGGCCAGATATGAGTGTCCCTGCAGTGTCAGAAACTTCTCTCTAAATCATTTGGTTAAAGATGAGTCAAACACCCTTGAGGAATCAGACTCTGGTGACAGAATTCATTCTGACAGGCTTCTCAGAAGTGCCTCAGCTCCAGGTTCTCTTCTTCGTCCTCTTTCTTTCCCTCTACACCATGGCATTCTGTGGCAATTGCCTCATTGTGGTGGCCATCACCATCAGCTCTGGACTCCACACTCCCATGTACTTTTTCCTGGTAAACCTGGCCGTGTTGGATGTTATCTGTGTGTGCACTGTGGTGCCCAAGTTGCTTGAGATCCTGGTGGCTCAGGATGCAAGCATCTCCTACAGAGGCTGTATGGTCCAGATGTACTTCTTGTCATGGTCTGTAGCAGCAGAAGTGCTGCTCTTCACTGCCATGGCCTATGACCGCTACGTGGCCATCTGCCAGCCACTGTACTATGACTCCATGATGAGCCCCAGGGTGTGTGCAGCACTGGCTGGAGCTGTGTGGGGTATCAGCATATTTGGTGCTGGTCTTAACACCTATCTGATGTCACGGCTGACCTTTTGTGGGCCCAATGTGATTGATCACTTCTTCTGTGAGATTCCCCCTCTGCTGTTGCTGTCTTGCTCCTCCACATATGTGAATGACATCATGACAATTGTGGCTGACATCTTCTTTGCTGATTTGAATTTCCTGCTCACCATGGTGTCCTATGGCTTCATCATCTCCACCATCCTGAAGATTCGCACGGCAGAGGGCAAGCAACGAGCCTTCTCCACCTGCTCCTCTCACCTTATCGTGGTCTCCATGTACTATTCCACCGTCATCTACACCTACCTGAGTCCAAATTCCAGCTACTCCCCACAGATGGGTAAATTCCTAGCTGTGCTATATTCCACTGTGAGTCCCACCTTGAACCCTCTCATCTACACTCTAAGGAATAAGGATGTCAAGACTGCCCTCAAGAAAGTCTTTACACTAATGGTGGAAAAACTATATATTCATAGCCTCTAAATGTTGTCTTTTTGTTTCTCTCTGACTATTGACCCTCAGAGATGTCTCCCATCTGTTATAAATGTCCTCTCTCCATGGGGGCTGTCACTCTCAATCCAGCTTTCTTGAGGAAACATTCCACTCCTAATTTCCCAAAGTCTTCCAATGGGATGTGTTTTTCAACATTCTATTCCAAAAAAGTTTGGGGTTCCTGGAAAATAATGTACAGAATGTATCACAGATGTATTTGTTATTTATCAGATCCTTTGTACTGCAAACCATCCAGAATACCTACCTACATATTAACCTTCATGAGTCGTGAGCCAACTCAAATCTATCAACACTGTCCCACTTAACATTACCTAATTTCTTCTTAGATGATATACATATTGGCCCCAAATCACAGAAGCCCTTTCTGTCTGGGATTGCTTTGGAAACCCTGGTCTAGGAATATGATAGGAACCTCATGACCCAAGACAAAAATGCCCACTGGGTCCTGTGTATGCAGTGTTCCTTCTACATGGAATGCTCTTAGATAACTCATTCATTTGACATGTTGGTTGCATGCTAAATCTTAAACAATTTTTCCTTAACCAGCCTGAGTCAGGTCCCTCTGTCACCTACTCTCACAGTGCTCTTTTATTTTCCTCAGAGCTAATCATGCAGTTGATTATTTGATTAACATATTTCATACTAAGTTTCATGAGAAGAGGGGCAATGTTTTTGGCTCACCATTGTATCCCCAGAAATAAAACAGGACCTACAACATAAAAAGTGATGAATAAATGAAAATTAATCTACCACCACTTTGCATATCTGATCAGGTTGAAGATACACTTAGTCCACTATTCAACAGCTCCATTGCTATGTGTTCTTGTGATGCACAAAGGAGACAGGTTCAAGGTTGTTGCATCTCTTTATATAGCAGTAAAAAAGGTAGAAACCACATAACTAACTGTCCTTTAGTAGGAAAATAGATAGTTAAGCCATGGATTCATTACACATAGACTATCATGTTAGATCTGCATATGTAAATATGAACAGGTATCAAAAGCATATAATTGAGTGAGAAAAGCAAGTTGAAAATAGAGGTGTATTTCAATAGATGCTAAGTACTATCATAATTATAATATAAAAGCACTGTAATATCAATAATATATTTTCTATTTTAATACACATATATAAACAAAGAGTACTTTTTTTTGAGAGGTTTTTGCTATGGGGCATGTGCGCTCGCCAAACAGAGAGAGACAGAGAGATAGAAAGCGAGAAATCACCCACCAGTGGGGGATGGACATGCTGCAATCCCTTCTCCTCCATTCTCCTCTCGGGATCTTGGGTACGCATGCACGCACATGCACCCGGCGTGAGTTTTAAGCCACTGGGTACAGGACGCAAATCACAGTCGACTACATGGGAGTCCAGCGACATAGCCATTATGCTAACTGCTGGTCCCAACAAAGAGTACTTTTAACAGGATGGAATGAAAGAAAAGAAAGGAGGCATTGAGTTGTATCTGTACTTTTTTTTTTTTTTGGAGAGGTTTTTGCTATAGGGCACGTGCGCTCACCAGACAGACAGAGAGAGACAGAGAGACAGAAAGCGAGAAATCACCCCCCAGGGGGGATGGCCACACCGGAATCCCTTCTCCTCCATTCTCCTCTTGGGATCTTGGGCATGCACGCACATGCGCCCGGCGTGAGTTTAAACCACCGGGTCCAGGATGCGAACCGCGGTCGACTACATGGGAGTCCAGCGACATAGCCATTATGCTAACTGCTGGTCCCAGAATAGGCAATTTTAATAGACTTCCCAGTGACACCTGTGCAAACTTAAGTGTGAGAACCCCTGATTTAAGATAAAGAAAGGCAAGACTTTTTTCATCTCCGTGCTACACACCCCACTCATTGATCTGGTACACATTCTCAGTCAATAGTGGAAAAAGTCATAGCCCTCCCTAAACCAAATACCTCTGTTTAGCAGATAATTTTCAATCCTTTACTCATCAGGAAAAGTGCAAGGGGAAGAATAATGAAGCAAAACATTTAAGGGACCCCAAATGGAAAGAAATCTGTTGATTATAATGTGTATGGTAGTATCTTTGACTGAACCAATATACAGTGTATTCCTAATAGGAAATTCATTTGACATGCTGTAATGATATACAGGGGTTGAATGTAAAATAATAATAATGTCTTTGTCCCATTAATGCTTTGCCTCCCTATTTTCCCTCTAAATGTCCTTCCTCAGTTCCTACTCTTTCACACGCATTTTATCTGGTATTTACATCCATATACTATGTTTCTATATTCTTTAGTTAATCAGTTTCAGTCATAGAATGCAGACACTTGGTATATATTAAGTGGGGACAATGTCTCTCCTTCATAGCCTGGCTTCCTTCACTCAGCAGTAAATCTTCCATATTCTTCCACTTGCTGTCAAAAGCCAGGGTTTTCTTGTTTGTTTGTTTGTTTGTTTTTGTTTGTTTTGTTTTGTTTTATGTCTGAATAGTATTCCATAGAGTATATGTGCCACAGTTTTTCTATCCATTCATCTGTTGGTGGGCATTTGGGTTGTTTCCATGACTTAGCAATGGTGAATATTGCTGCAATAAACATCGATATGCAAGCACTTTTCCAATTAAGTATTCTTCTGTCCTTTGGGTAGATATCAAGGAGTAGGATTGCTAGATCATATGGTAGTTCTGTAGTTTTATCAACTGGACTATGGAGAAATGTTCACTTGTTGAAATATTCATTTTTGTAAGCTAAATAATGTGATTGAATGTATAAAAGAAAATGAAATAATGTGGAAAAAATAATAATTTTAAAAAGTGTGTATCCTGTTGTTTTTAAAGGACAATGGTTAGTATCATAATTTGAGTTTTTAGGAATATTTTAGTAAGTGTCACTACCTCGGTTGCTTAGGGAAACAAACTATATTATTCTCCCCCAGACTACCTGCTTTCTCCCTATGGTCTGTAGGCAAAGCACATTCCCATGCCCACAGGTCACCTTACCATTGAGTAGTTTAGCCACTGGTAGTTCCGGTAGTTCCCAATGGCTACATACAAATTACATTTTCATAACCATAAAGTGACACAGACCATATGCCCTACTGTGATCACGCTCCTGAATATGTCACTGGCAGCCTGGTTAAACAGGAGGAAGGTTGAAGAGAACCACATGGCTGGAAAAAATATTGCAAGAAAAAGATTTCTGCTAAAGTCTATCAAAATGTTAATCACGAGGATATTTCCAAACATGCATCCAGCCATCCAACTTTTTATCAAACTCACCTTACTTAATTACAGAAGAGGTGTGAACTGGCTGAAAATTCTTACACAGTTCAAGGAGTTTATGAGTCAACATGTTCCCAGTTTTGCAGCTACTTAGAAATAGTTCCAAATTGTGACCATTTTCCTCATAAAGCTTGGAAGAGTTCTACTTCAGGGCATCACCTGAACAATTTAGGGTAGACAAGTATATGATCACATTTTTTTCTTTTCTTTTTATTTATTTATTTTTTGTTATCATAATCTTCTTTATATAACATTGGATTACATATAACTTTACAGTGTATTACATTGCTTTTTTCAAAAGGGAATGCCATGCATGTCAGTCAATACAGAGACATTAATCTCCCCACTTCATCATTCAGTATCTTTTCAATGTTTTTCCCAATAAGAATGTGATCACATTTTGATCTTAATTTTTTTCCCAATTTCTCTATGTAGGAGTATACATGTATTTGTTATTAAACATGTTACATAGAATGAAAACAATTCACCAGTTTCTGCTTCCTCACATGCCTACAACTCACTCCCATTCTTAAGGCAACCCTTCTAGAAAATTGCTATGCATTTTAAAATAAATGGTAGTAGCATTTATAGAACTTAACAATTTTTTATTTTATAACATAATTTTTTTTAGCCAGGTAGGTATTAATAGAGATTTAGATTATTATTCTTTTTCATTTTATAAAAGTGATATAGTGAATATTCTTATAAATAATGGAATACTTCATGTGTATTTATGGAGAACACAGTCTTGGAAGCAGGACTGGTGGGAAAGAATCTTTATGAACACTGATAAATCTCTCCTTTAAAAATGCAAGCAGTGTATAAATGTATTAATTTCTTCATATCTTCACCAAAATTGTGAGGATTAAAATTTTATTTCAACATTGATGTATTTTGCACTTCTCTAATGCTAGTAAGATTGATTCTCTTTCAGGTATTCGTTCATCATTCTTCCATTATATGTTTGTCCATCTTTATGAATTCTGGAGACTTTTACATATTCAGAGTATTAATTCACTTTTGTGTTTCATACAAAAGTAAAATTGTTCTCCCAGGTCTTTTTTCATCTTATTATGTATTTGTGATTTCTTACTTTTTAAAAATTTTATGATTTCTGATTAACATTTGATGGTTGCACATTATTACAACATACAATATAGTTTTTACACTGATTGTGAAATTTTTATAAAGTCACATATATTAATTTTTCCATCATGGTTTCTTTTCTTTTTTTAAGAGATTTTTGCTACAGGGAACATGTGCTCACTGGAGAGACAGAGAGACAGAGACAGAGAAACAGAAAGTGAGAAATTACTCTTCAGGGGAGTTGGTCACACTGCAATCCCTTCTCCTTTCAGGAATTTGGACATGCATGCACATGTGCCCAGCATGAGTTTTAAGCTTCTGGGTCTGGGACTCGAACCACAGCTGGCCATTTGGGAGTGCAGCGATGTAACCATTACGCCAACTGTTGGTCCTGCCATCATGGTTTCTAACTTCCATCATACACATGGTGAAGCCATTGCCACCTCAAGGTTATCCATATATGCTTATTATTTTTCTGGTGGTAATGTTTATGGGTATGCGTGTACATGTGTTTATATATTGTCCATCTGTGATTCATTTTTAATCTTGCACAATATTTTAACTCATTTTTTCAATTGTCCTAGGATATTTGTTTGTTAATTTATTTATTATTTTTATTTGCTAGAGGGCATGT